ACCCCCCCCCCCGCCTACACCGTGCAGAAATTCCGCGCGGCGATAAACGACGAGCCCCGAAAGGTGTTCCGCGACTTCATGCTCGGGGTGCAAAAGGACGTGAGGCTGAGGGGTTGCAAGGTCAACTCGCACTGGCGGCCTCAGCACTGCTTCTGCTCGATCGCCCGGTTCAGAGAGTCTTACCACGTGGTACCCTTCGCGAACATGTCGGCAAGTCCAAGTCGATTTAGACTCGGTTTGGTGTTTAATAAATTGTTTGGGATGTGTGGTAACTTTTGTCCTGTGCCGCTAAATTACCGTGTTGGGCTTCGGGCAGCGGAAAAATGCTTCCGAGAGTGCGCCCGATTGTGTCGACGCATGACGAAAACTACTCAATGTGTGAATTGCGATTTGGCGTCTGCCTTCGCGTTAGTAATAATATTAATAAAAAAAAAATTAACGGTCGCGGTGGAAGGGGCTGATAGAGTAATCACTCCTTGTCTACGTTCTATCGAACGCCGTCCCGCCGGTGCCTTCCTGCCTGTGGTCTCGACACCGCTTGGTTGTGACCTGTACGCAGAGACGGCTGTGAATCAGATGTGGGCCACATCTATAGGTTGTGACCTGTGCAAGAGACTGCCGTGAATCAGATGGAGGTCACATTTAGGTTGTGGCCAGTGCGCAAGAGACTGCTGTGAATCGGATGGACGTGGGCGTGCCGTTTTGCAGCCATTGACCACTGAGCCCCCGCTTGCACATGATGCTGGGCCCACACACGCACCCCCACCTTTACGTACGCCTTGTACGACAAGAGCAACACGGACGAGTGAACCAAGGTATAGGCAGGCCGCATCTACAGTGTCCGCGTTTTCTCTTACTATTTCTTTTGTATGTCGCGTGCCGTGAAAAATACATGGGTCTGTTGCTAGACGGAGGCGGTGAACCTGGTGGATCACATGCGGAGGCCTTCCCCGGACCGTGCGGTGCTGCTGAGGGAGTTCATAGTGAAGCGGTTCAGCAGCAACCAGGACGCGAAGGCGCAGGGTGCCACCAGCAAGAGGGAGAGGTACTTTTCGAAGGAGGCGCTGGAAGCCATCAAGATGGTGAGATATACGGACAAGACAAACAGACAGACAGACAGAGAGGCAGTCAGTCAGTCAGACAGACAGACAGACAGAGACAGTCAGTCAGACAGTCAGTCAGAGAGAGACAGACAGACAGACAGAGAGACAGAGACAGAGACAGACAGGCAGGCAGGCAGGCAGGCAGACAGACAGACAGACAAACAGACAGACAGACGAGACGGACGGGTGACAAGGATGTTTGGCGGTAGATCGAACTATTTTTTTTTCGTTCTTTCAAGGATAAGGACAGATGTCGGGCGCAACGGGCGGATGCAGAAGGGGAAAGGTGCGCCGACCCTTTTTATTTTTGAAGCTGTGCCAGTAGCGCAGTATGCGCCCACATGGTTTGTTGAAGTGTCTTGGGTCAAGAGAAGAGGCGCGCCCTCCTTCTCGTAGGGAATACGTCGCCCAATGATTGAGTCCCTCACAAAGTGGAAGCGAAATGATTTGGAACACCTAAGAGCCACCTTTGGCGAAATAGGAAGGAACGATTGGCCATAGGTGATCGATCGTACTGTGGGAACAACACTCCGTCCTCTCGAGGACGCGCGGTCAATGGCCTAACAACTAAGGCATGCAAAAACATGAGTACTTCCCCCCCCCCACCTGCATGCCTTGCGAAACGCCTTTTTGTTACGACGTTGAGGTGTACGGCAAGGACTACTCTCTCTTCGGCGAGTACTTCGAGGAGCACTCCGCTTCAAGCTNGGGGGGGGGGGGGGGGGGGAGTCGATGCCCGATGCGGCAGACCCAAAATACGTAGCACGTAGTTGGTTCGTGTCGCCCGCTTTGGCCCTTATTTCGATAGCGTGTCTTAGATGTATCAGTGCAGTCCAACGGCCCCCCGACGAGACCTAGCTTCGTTTTTTTAGAGCCACACGTCGGTCGAAGCTGGACCACTCAGCAGCAGTGGCAGTGGCAGACAGACAGACCGTGACGTACCCTCGTAGAGATTCGACTTTTCCAGGCGCCTTCAATAGTCTTGAGCCGCTTGCGATTCTGGTCTGCTCTTTTCGGCCGCCCTTGCTGGGCTCAACCATGGTGTTACAGCAGTTTTCGAGTATATACAGACAGACAGGTCTCCAGGTGTTTCATCGGCTTTTGCCGCTTTGGTTGTTTTTTGTGTTGTGGACTTTGTTGTGAGGTTACGTTGGTGTTGGTGTTGGCCGGGAGATATACTCATTTGGTTGTCATGAAGGTTGAGCGGGATGTATGTGTGTGTGGATTTGTGTAGTTTTCTGCGCCTCATGTTTTCTCTGTCCGCGGCCCTCATCGCCGCGGTCACACCCACCGATCTGGGAAGGAACTAAGTAGAACGCATGCTCCGAGTCAAGCTCTTTTACACTGTGTCGCGCGAAGAGACGCGCGTCATGGCAGCAAAGCGGTACAATACGACCTTGGAGTTAGTGCAAAGCCTTGAGAGCGCATGTAAAGCATATCTGTATCGGTCTTCAACTGTTACTCTATTTTGAAACGCAGCAGGTACTGCGTAGAGTAGCTTCTCCTTGGAGAATGAGGGCGGCGTGCGGGTAGGGGGGGAGGGTGGGGGGGGGTACTCAAGAGGTTCGTGAAGATGAAGTTGAAGTTAATACTCTTTTTTAACACGATAGACCCTATTTCTACCACACACCGGAAAGGCGCGCAAACCACGTCAGACACACCTCGAAGGTGTTCCGAGTCAGTTTTTTTTTTTTTGTGGGGGGGGGAAAGGGGGTCACAGTCCGGATGTCCCATAGAACGCGGCGTCGTCATCGTTCGAGTTATTCGCTCATGTTGATTTGGATCTTCGTGCGATGCGGGTTAATAATGCACCCACGGCGAAGAGCAAATACTCTTCCACTCTGATGCCTTTTTCTGCTGAGGATATTTTGAGCGATGTCCACTTTTGTAGCGGGCGATATTGGTGCTCGTGTGCGGCGGGTTCATGGATGCCCCCCACCCTATGTGACGTGCTTGCTGCCGGCCCCCGTATTGTTCCCGATTGAACTAATACGCTCCTTGTTAAAAATGGTCGTTTTCCATGGTTCGATGCTCTTTGGTTGTGCGTGCGGCATACAGAGGGAGCAGGTTGGAGGTCCATTCGGTGAGAGCACGTGGAGCGCCACAGACGCCACGTGCGGGCAACGATTTTTTTTCGTGTTTCTCTCGGTGCCGGGTACCAGGCTGCAGGTTAGAAGCTTTTTTTTTGTCTCAGGGCTTTTGCGTGTTTTGTACCATGCGGCAGTGAGTGCTTCCGTGACCCGGGCGCTAGGCCTGTTGCCAAGCAGGTATGATGTGTATGTACTGTGGAAGGGGATGTGTAGGTCTCCTAGGCACTCCCCCGTATTTTTTTCCCACAGCGGTAGTCGTGCAACCCGTTTTCTTTGGGCGGCCACACAATGTGTAAATCGCCGTCTTGGACGGAAGATCCTCGGTAGGTATTAAAGTTAATTCGTGCCGTGATTCCAAATGCACCAGTACTATTAATAATGTCTTTTTTTCCAAAAGTATTGGAACGGGTACAGTAGTAGTAGACTTTCTTTTTTTTATGTGTGTTTGAAGTTTCAAGAGGGGGCCAGTGGTAGTCTCCAGGGGGGTCTGTGGAAATCTCGGCTTCTGCGAGGGGCTGCCCAAAAATGATCACGCATCAAGTACGATTCCCAGGCCTTCCAGCCCACACACGGTGTCCCATGTGTATCCCATACATTCCATGCCACACACGGTGCCCCATGGGTTTCCCATACATTCCATGCCACACCTTTTGCCCCATGGATTTCTCTACATTCCATGCCAAACCCATGTTCCATGGGTTTCCAAAAAAGTCCAAACAACAACCACCCAATGGAAGATCACCAAACATGTCTGGTAGTGAAGGTGTTTAGTCATCATAAAAATCAAACAGCACCCAAACGACAAGGAAGCCTCAACACGAAGAGCCCTGGCCAAGATGTTTCTAGTCTTGGCAAAAAATACAGAAAGAACAGCGATGAGAAAGCCTGGTGATGGCGCATCGAGTCATCATCATCATCGAAAAGAAAGCCTGTTGAAGGCACACTGAGTCAACATCAAAAAGAACGGAAGCCTGGTGATGGCACATCGAGCCACCATCATCATCAAAAAAGAAAGCCTGTTGAAGGCACACTGAGTCATCATCAAAAAGAACGGAAGCCTGGCGAAGGCACATCGAGCCGTCATCATCATCAAAAAAGAAAGCCTGGTGAACGGATGCATTTAGTTATCAACACGAAGCCTCGGTCGGCGGCAAGCAATTCCCTCTCCTAGGCGATCATGGTGCCGAGCTGCACGCCGGTGAGATCGCCGGTGCCAGCGGCGGCAGAGCTTCTGCCGTCGAGCACTCCCCGGCGTCCCCGTTCCAAACCCCCCTCCGCCACTATCCGCTGTGCCTCCTCCGATATCCTCAGCCTCCTGTAGAACGACCATGCCACCTGACGTCGGCGTCGTTTAAGTTTTTCGTTGGAGTGGGGGTAAGGAGGGCTTCGGGGTGAGGTTGGGGAGCAGGGAGGTGTTCGGATTTTTTTCTGTGCTCCTCGTTTGACATTGGCATGTGCGTGCTCCTACAACCCTGTTGTAGTTGCTGCTGCTGCTGCTGCTGCTGCTGCTGCTGCTGCTGCCGCTGAGTAGTGAAACGTACCATTTCAACTAGTCGGCCCTGCCTTTGTTTCCTACGCTGTTGTGTTGTTGCTGCTGCTGCTGCTGAAAGCTGAAAAAACTACAATTTCAACCAATCGGGCTTCCTCTGTTGGTGACCTAGCTTCAACGCACGCCATATTTTCAAATGTGTCTATCGTGTCTAGTCTCGAGCATAAAATGAATGCACATCTACATCGCCAAGAATCGAACATTAAAAAAACGTCAGTCTCTGCTCGAAAAAACAAGGCTCAACGAGACACCTACGTGTAAGCATTTTTTGTTTTTTACAGCAGTATGCAACACCGAACCCCCCGCCCGTCTTTTGTTCGACGATTCTTCAAGACAGTTCGGCAGTGTGTTGTCCGTGTTCTTCGGAAGGGCAAGCAAGCTTCCTGATGTAGAACGCCCTGCACCGCGTTTGGGTGGAACCCAAACCGTGCTCTGCAAAAAGAAAGTTAAAATTTTCAGAAAACAACGGCATTCAAGCCAGGTCTGTCACACACAAGATACACGGTAAGACAAAACGCAAAAAGAAACGAGAACACGGGGCAATGGGTGCAACGACTAGAGAAAACCAAAACAAGAGTGCGAAAAAATAATACAAATCAACTCTCGAAGTAGATGTCCAATGCAAGAATCTTGGTATCTGTTGGATATCACAACCCCTTCTGCAGATCTCTCTACTCCGCCGAACAAACTAAAACACCGCGGGCAGACACGCTTGTCCTGATATCACAATCCTGGATTCGTCGGCTGATGCGCTGGTGAGGCACGCCAAGCGTCGCCCTCGCACGACAGACCCCACTTCTGTAGCTTGTGTCATTCGCGAGAGGCCGCGAGATGACACCCCCCCCAAACCGACATGTGCTTGTAGCCTGGCCCGGTGAGAACCCGGCGTGCTCCATCCCGGCTTTGTAGGGATGCGAGGTCAACGGTCTAACGACTACAGCATGCACGGCCATGAATATAAGTACACCCCCCCTAGACCGACTTTCAAAGTTCGATTGCTCCAAAAACAAGATTGTCTGTACCGTACCGTATACCGTACCGTGGTATTCCGCAAGAGGCGAAGAGATGGCACCCCCCCTAGACCGACTTTCAAAGTTCGATTGCTCCAAAAACAAGATTGTCTGTACCGTACCGTATACCGTACCGTGGTATTCCGCAAGAGGCGAAGAGATGGCACCCCCCCTAGACCGACTCGATTGCTCCACGACCAAGTGGGCGCGGAAAGAGCCCCAATCGTCTACGGAAAGCCCTCGACGTGATGTTTCTAAAACCACCACTATTGTTGTTGATACAAGCCTCGGTTGTGGAGCAATCGAGCGTTGAAAATCGGTCTAGGGGGGAGGTGCCCAGCTCTCCACCTCTTACGGTAATTTTACACAGCTTCTCACGCTGGCTGGCGGCCAATTCATTGAACGGTGCTCGGTCTTAACGCCGGTATCTTAACTTTCTGGGAACGGGCTCTCAAACGTCATTATCATCGGTTTCGTCGGTACACGCTCCCGTGCCTACCTTGAAGCAATAGGCGGAGAACAGGGCGGCGAGCAGCGTGTTTAACGGACCCTCGTCGCTCGGCGAGAGGAAAGAGTGGCACACGTCGATCGAGAACGTGGTTGGGAAGCCCAGCATGAAGAGCTTGGCGAGCGTCGTGTTGTCCGTGTACCCGGCCCTCCAGCCCGCCAGCGACAGCAGCATGTACAGCGCGCCTGTACGTTTATCGCCGTCGTTGTTGTCGTTGTTGGGGGTGCTGTGACTGGATGTGTACGATGTGCGAACATTGAATGCGTCAAGAGCCACCGATTACTCTAGAAAAGGCTTTCGTCGAACGTCCCCCCCTTAACACCCCCAACCCCACCGAAAACACAGCCCGGCGTATCGCTCCGTCCCGGCATTGTAGGGATACGAGTTCTATGGTAGCGACTACGGCATGTGTTTAGACGAGTACACCCCTCGCCGAAAAAAAAATCACAAAAAGAACATACACCACGGGCAACGGAGAGAACAGCAAGTTCCGGTGTTGTAAATCAGGCAGGCTTAATCTCCCCTGCGAACGAGAGCCATTTCGACTCAACATATATACCAGCTCCTAGACGCCAGCGGTGTAACTCGAACGTAAGTCGGTGAGCAGCTACTATGTAAGGAGAGACACGCCAAAAGCCCAAACCATCACTAAACGGCTTGCGGAAGTCAAGATACATGGCTTCGGGGAAGGGATTGTGATGAACAGAAGGAAGCCTTGGCATGAAGTTACATATCTTGTTTCGCGTTGCCAGAGTAGGTATTGACGTCCAAGGATCTGACCTCGCCCTCGTGGACACCACGGAGCCCCCGAGCGAACGAAAAGCCAGGCTTGTGTGCATCATGGGCTCAACAACCTCCAATATAGGCTGACGGATGCCCACCACAAATCGCCGCCTCTTATAACAAAAAAAAAAACACACCACCGTTCGGTAGCCGAATACCTTGGCCCTCACCTCTTTTTCCTTCGTCTGGAGTGGTATAAAAAAAGCACGAAAACAGCAACACACAGACACACACACACACGCACCTCCCTCCGGGAAGAAACACTTCAAGAAGAGTCAGACACGGCCCCACCTAAAAAAAAAACTGCCACATTACTTAGAAGGATATGCTATGTTCTGTTGCCATGGATTATGTCGACGCAAAAGAGAGAGAGAGAGCGCTGGCAGACTCACCGATGGCGTGATAGGCGGGCACCATCGACTGCGAGAATTCAAGCGTCCTCTGTCCCTGATCAATGGCGCTAAGATAAGCGTCGCAGTCGTGCTCCTCGGTCACGATCACCCCCGTGCAGTCCTTGGTGTACTGTTTTTTGTTTTTTTTATGATCAAGTTTTGATTGTATTCAGCCACGGGTTTTGCATGTTGTTTTTTTGAGAGGCAAGCAGGATACAACATTGCGAGAGTTTGGAACGATCTCAACGAAGTTGATCATGCATTTCTTCATAGCGGCGGTGGGCCGCGCCGCACCCCCCTGTTCTTGAAACGAGTCGGCTGCGAAATGCCCTATCCCCCCCCCCCCCCCCCCCCCCCCCCCCCCCCCCCCCCCCCCCCCCCCCCC